CCCTGGGCAGGGACACCTCTCACCAGAGCAGGTTGCTCAAGGCTTCATCCAGTGAACACTGCCAGGGCTGGGGCAGCCACAGCCTCCCTGGGCACCCTGTGCCAGTGTCTCTCCACCCTGTATGCTCTATGTTGTAACCCTCTGAACTGCAGCAAACCCCCTGGAGCTGTGCATTTTCCTGCTCAGCTGCAGGGACTGAGAGTTCTTTTTGCCTTGCTGAACTTGGCTTCCAAACTTGTAAGATCTAGCAACTGCTGTGCTCCTGAAGGTGTTCGAACAAAGAGCGAGTGGTGCTTTTGGTTTCCCCTTGCAGCTTACAAACAGCAGCACAAACAGGTCTGTGCGCTTTGCTGCTCTGCGCACGTTGTTCAGCCCCGCAGACACCTGTTACAGCCAAGGCTGAGCATAAGTTTCCTTTTGCAGCCTATAAACTGAACAGCCAGCAACTAGGCGAGTGACTTAGCAGCTACCTCTCTGCAGCATCACCCGCAGAGCCAGGAACCCACTCCCTTGCTGGTCCCACACGGACGGGGCCAGGATAAGGAGCTCGCTCACCAGATGGCAGTGCGTCCTTGCGAAAGAAGGAAACGTTCCCTGACTCTGAACAAAGCAAAGTGCAGCTCCAGAGCTGAAAAGGTCTTGCAGCTTCTCTCAAACCAAGTGTCGCTGCAGCTGAGCTTCTCCTTCTATTTGCAAACCCGTATTCGCACTGCAGTTCGCGGCAAGGCACCTTCCCTTGCAGCCTGGATATTGCCCGGGGATCTACACTTTCCTTTCAGGCTCGTGGAGTAGAAAGCTACGATCAAACACTTGCACAGACATAGGTGCCCAGACAGAAACGGTTTCTGCAGTATTCTTTCTGCTCTCTGCCCATCAGCTACACACAGCACACCGGGACTGTGAACGTTCCTTGTCAGAGACACATGTAAGCTCATCACGGCACTCTGGCAGATCAATTTCAAACCTTAAAACGTCCAGCAGCTGCTCCAAGGAAAAGTCTAACAGACACTGGCATTCTCTTTCCCCTTGCAGCCTGTCAATTGCACCTGCACTGCGATGCTCAGAATATTCCTTCTCAGCTCTATGCACTGTGACACTTCACATCTCCCAGGGACACATGCACCTCTCGCAGCGCAGCTGCTCCAACGAAAAGTCTAACAGACACTGGCATTCTCTTTCCCCTTGCAGCCTGTCAATTGCACCTGCACTGCGATGCTCAGAATATTCCTTCTCAGCTCTATGCACTGTGACACTTCACATCTCCCAGGGACACATGCACCTCTCGCAGAGAAAACATGCTAGGTCAGAAAGAGCTGCTGGATTGGCCCTTATCCTTGCAGCTTTCAGCACTTTGCCACACACCATGGGTCTGCACTTTGCTTCGCAGCTTTTATAACCACCCCCTTTTTCACTCCTCAGACCATTGCCCCACAAATTAAACCCTCCAGCAGCATCTCCCAGACAAAAGCTCGAGTAAAAACAACCCCACGGGACCAGCAGCAGGCTGGGAAGGAGCAAGAGGAAACTGGGAAGGATGATGATGGGAAGAGCCCGTGGATGAAGTGCTGGGGGGCTCTTCCCCCCCTCAACTTGCCCAATCCCCTCAGCAGTCCCCACCCCACCCCCCTGCCCCAGTCATCTGCCACCACATAGGTCTCAATGCATCTTTATTAAACTCTTAAAAAACAGAATACAAAATTCTGGCATCAACAATTGTTATAAAGGAAAACTTCAATTCAGCTGTATCAGGTCACCTGGTACATACAGTAAAGTGCTTATTTTTGTGTGGTTTTTTTTCCTTTTCCTTTTTTTTTTTTGTTGGGCTTTTTTTAAAATATATTTTTATTTCCCAGCCAGGCCCCAAGCAGAGGCTACTGTTGTACACCCCAACAATGTGTTAACGTGACTTGTTGAACCAGCTTTGGCAGTCTTCATCAATTGTAAAGTGGAGAAACTTTCTCCTGGTTTGATAAAAATAGAGTTAGCTTCACAGTAAACGTTTCTAACCAGTTCTAAGTTGAGTTAGTTGGCTGAAGGAAGGGCGGGAGAAGGAGAGAAAGCCAAAACACTTAGAATTTCCAGCTTAAAAGAAAAAAAAAATCTTTTTGAAGTTGGTTTCCAAGATAGATGCTCTATGGGGGAGGAAAGCTTGGAAAGAGAAAGAGGAAGAAGAGGGTGTTAGTGAGAGAGGGTCGCTGGTGCTGGACTATGGGAGCATCTGTCTGGAAGCCGCCCCAGGAGAGGCACTGGCAGCAGGGAGGGCACATCTGGCCCTGGCACGAGGGTCTCCCCAGCCAGCCCAGGGCAAGCCCTGCCCCACTGATGCACCCATGGGTGCCCAGTGCTGCTGGGAGTCAGGCTGGAAGTGTTCCAGAGTCGATCCCTGGCTCTAGAGGCATTGAAAGACTCTCCACGACGCACAGCCCGTGCCTGCACGCTGCACGCGGGAGCTCGCTGTCCTGGTGCCACAGATCATCCCTAAGTGCCATGGGCAAACTGAACCCCACCCAAAACTCCAAGCCAAGCCTGTGCCGACCTGGGATGCTCCCCAGCACGTCCTCCTCCTCACCACAAATCCCCACAGCATCTGCCAGCTGCGCGTCCCTGGCCGAGGATACCCACGCAGCACAGGTCACCCAGGCCACGTGCTGCGTTCACCAGACAGGGGTGGTTATATAGATATAAAAGAGATCACTCTTATGCATGGGAAAAAGGGGAAACTCCGTTTGCCAACAAAAGCAGCACAGGGGACAAATAAATTTGGGAGCCATCCCCCTGCCACCCCTTTCCCATGGGTTTTGTTAGTTAAAAAGGCTGCAGCGTGCAGCATCACCGATAGCTTCACAATACCAGCTCAAGGCATCGCGTACTGTACATCATTCAAGTATTTCTTAATATAAGACAACGAGGAATTATCTACAACTGATAAACCAAAATAAGCTATAAAAAGTAACAATGTACAATCAAGATGGATTTTCTTTTTCTTTCTGTTAAAGGAGGCCTCTCCAGGGTGTCCCAGTGCCTGCATGGGGGCAGCTCTCCTCGCCACCACCTCACTCCTCCCCACCCAGCACGGTGAGACCATGGGCACATGGGGGAGAGGGCAGATCACAAGTAAGAGGTGGGTTTGGGGGGGGTGGGATGGGAATGGTGTTGCCCTCCTCAACCTAAAAAAGGCTGAGAAGGAACAGACAGCCCTGCCCTAAACTCCACCAACACCCAAGATCATCTCCCAAGATAACTCACACACACCTCCCTGAAACAAAAAAACCAACATATATTGCATAGTATTGCTGTCAGCAGTCTTAAAATAAAAAGGAGAACTTTCTTTTCTTTTCCAGAGACAGTGACTGTCTTCAGCAGACGACCCAGAGAAGTCTCTTCCCTGGCTTAGAGCTCCCGAACCCTCACCTGTGCACACAACGGGCCAAAGCTGCTTTTGCAAAACATAAAGCTCAAAGCACTGAGTTGGAAGGGAAAGGAGGAGGCTGTGAAGGGGGCACTCCCCTCCCGGTGGGATGAGGGGGCAGCAGCAGGCACAGCCTGGTGTGGCCGTGCCTGTGATGGGGAGCAGGGGGTGTTACAGGGATCTGGAAGCATTGAGGGGGGAGCTGGAGATCTGTCTGACCCCAGTCACAAGCACTGCCCTCCTAGGCCGACCCAGCCCTGCACAGCAAAAATCAGCCAACAGCCTCATCCCAGCTCAGCATCCCAAATCTTTCCTCCACATGCATCCCTTCCCTTGCCCAAAGCAAGATTCCAAGGAAAGGGCGATGCCACGCATGCCTGAACACACGTGATCACAGGTGTGCATACATGAACACACACACCAGTGCTCCCCAGACTCTGCTGCCCTCACCCCAAACCTCCAGCCCTACATCCCGAGCTGTCTCCAGGCTGCTCTCTCATGCTATGGCCCTGGCTGCTGACCCCCAGCATCCCCAGGGCACTCTCCGTGCCCCCAGACCCTCCTGCCACAGCAGCCTCGGGACCAGCCCAAAGCCACACCCGGTCACATCAGCCTGCAGCAGGTCCCAATGCTCCTGACATGGGTCTTTGCTTTCCACAGAGCACCTCACTATTCCCAGAGGCTACTTCTGGCTGCTCTGGCCACCCTGAAGACCTCGTACCCCCTCACACCTCCATGAGGGCACAGCCAGCAGCCCCTCTAAAAACAGGTGCAACACCTGACCTGGCACAGGAGCACAGCCCTGGGTGCCTGTGCACGCCCCGAGTCTGACCTCGCGCTGCTGAGAGCGGGAGGAAAGGAAGACGTTTCTCCGTGCCCTGTAGAGAAGCACAGCTAAGCAGTTTAAACCAACAATAACTAAAGAAAAAGGGAGTTAATAGCTTATTGTGGCGGCAGGACGCCGAGGAGAGAGGGCGGCTCGGCGGGACAGGACGCTGCTCCCTCGCTGGCACCGTCTCCCCCCGGCCCTGGGCAGTTCCCTGCACAGTGCCCACCGCGCCCTGAGGCAGCGCCGGGCACGCACCCGAGCGTGGGACGGAGGGGCTCCCTGTGCCCAGGAGGTGTCTCCTGGACCCTCGGGAGGGGGTTTTTGTAGGGGTTTTTTGTGGGATCTACCCCAACATCGGAGGAAAACCTGCAGTTCCGAGAGGAGGGACGAGGTTAAAACGTGACTCCCACTGCTGAAAACATGACCGAGGGTCTTTTGTTCACAGTATGAAATGAGCTGAAATCGTCAAAGCAGCCGTGGATACAGAGTCCTTTGGTGTCAGGGATGGGGGGCAAATGTCAGAGGAGAAACCAAGAGTCGGGAAACAAAAGTCCGTGTGTCTGTCAGATGTCCTTGAGTGTGCCCTGGGTGAAGCAACCTCACGCTCGATTTAACACCTTAAAAAAAAAAAAAATCTTAAACAAACCCTCCCTCTTGTCACGAGCCAGAAATGGTGGGGTTGGGGGTGGAGGGGTAAGGGGGAAGAAAGAAAGGAGAAGGAGAAGAGGGACATGGGAGTACAGCAGATGCGAGGGACACTACTCAGGCTTGGTCGGCCACCAGGACCAGCGGGGCCACCAGGTGCTGCCCAGCAGCCACGGCCTTCGCCAGGCTGCTCTTCTGCCGCCGCTTGGCCAGCTTGGACTCGGAGGGAGGGGAGAGCTGCATGGCCCGTGAGGTAGCTTTGATGATGATGGGTCGTGCTTCCTCCTCCGCCGCCTCCTCCTCGTCCTCATCGTGCAGCGTCAGCTGGCGGTTGACAGCAATGGCCTCGGCGGCGAAGGAGGTGAGCTCTTTGGCACTGCTGTTCCTGTGGGGGAAGCACGGGCTCAGGGGAGGATGTGGGGGCTGGAAGGAGGTCAGTATCAGGGTGCCCTTCCTTGCACGTCTGCCACGCTGGACCAGTTAGGCATCAACAATGTGGCTCAAACCCAAACCACATGCAGCAGCCACTGCTCAGAGAGTCATGGCAGAGCCCTCAAAAAGCAGCAAGAATGGACAGTAGTGCTGAGGAGCCAGGATTTGGGGGGCTGGGATGCGTCCCCCCATTCCAAGGCCACCCACACTCACCTCTGCAGGATGATAGGGGTTGGCAGGGTGTTATCCGGGGCACACTGCAATGAAACACAGCTGGTCAGAGCCAGAAGCCCCGTAGAGGTGTTCCCCCCAGCTTACAGGAGCAAAGCGCGGGGAGGGCGGCGTCAACACTCACCCCCTGCACCCAGGGGTGCTCCAGGACCTGGGCTGCGCTGAGCCGCTTCTTGGCATCTCTCACCAGCAGCTTGGAAATGAGGTCTTTGGCTCCGAAGGAGATGTGAGCCCAGTCCTTGTCAGGAAACTCATACTTCCCCTCCTGAATGCTCTCAAAGAGCATGTTCTGTGTGGGGAGAAATAACAGGAGCTCAGCCAGGAGCGGTGCTGCCAAACTGGTGATGGGTTTGGGGTCCCCCAGGTACCTGGCAGGTGTGGCATGCCTCGCCCCGGTCCCAGCCACAGTCAGAGCCGCAGTGGCCAACGAAGGGGGGGTACCCGCTCAGCATGATGTACAGGATGACACCCAAGCTCCACAGGTCACAGCGCTTGTCGTAGATCGATGCCTCCTCATTGAAGGCTTCCACCACCTCTGGGGCCATGTACTCAGCTGAGCCACACTGTGGGGAGAGGTGTGGTGAGCCCCAAAAGATAGGAACCGACCCGGCAGAGGGGACTGGGGTAAGGGGGTCGGCCCTTGGCGGAACTAGAGAGCTGCACTCCCTGAAAGGAGAGCGCAGACACGGCTGCTCCCCAGGTTTGCTTCTGACAGGGCAGGTCACCTACCCTGACGGGTTTCCTACCGCGGGGCTTGCCACAGACCTGCCTCTCTGGAGGTCACCCGACAGCGAGCTGACACCCCAAAATGAAAAAACAGCCTAAAGGGTGCAACCCCTGCAGGGCAGCAGCAGGACAGCCAGACCCACACCCCACTGCACCACCACCACCACCCAACCGGCTCAGCAGGGCAGCGGCCGCTCCAGCACCTGGAAGCGACCACAGGACACGGTGAGAGGATCCTGATGTGCCTGTTCCCCTTTGCCTGACGCAGGCAGAACTGCAGGAGCAGGCGCAGGATCCGGTGCGGGAGGAGTTAACCCTGACGCAAGGAGGGGCAGAGCCAGCGGCCCCATTCCCCTATCACAGCTCCAGGGACTCTGGGGCTTTCCAGCACATGACCCACAGCCCACATGGCCTCGTGACCAGGGGGAAAAAGAGCTGCAGCCAGCAGATAATCACCTCCTAACGAGAGAGGCCTCCTGACGAGGGGCCTCACCAGCCCTCGTAGCTGATGTCACTGCAGGAAAACAACACCCCACAATCCCCAGCCCTAGTGCCACAGCAAGGTTGATACCTGTGGGAATGGGGGTGCCACCCCCCTCTGCCCCCACAGCTAAGAACGGGGAAACTTGAGACGCCTCAGAAACTCAGATGTTGCCCCAGGAGGAGGGTAAACACAGAGGAATGAGGGAGCCAGGTTGTTTTGGCCCCCATCTCTGTTGTCGTGCACCCACATCAGCTGGGCTCTCCCTTCCTGGTATACGTGCACCCCAAAAATCTCTGGGGTGCAGGGCAAC